TTTTCTCAGGGGCTTGTGAGGCCCTGTTGGTGAAGGGGCAGGGCTATCTGAACCTTAACAGAAATGGAGAAGAAAAGAGGGACAATAACAAAACACAAACTAACAGTTATTAGAGCTACTACCACTCTATGTCCATATTTTCTGAAGGTCCAGTTTTTGACACTTTTGAATTTCACTTGGTACCTAAGGAATATAAGGGGAAGCCTGCTATGTTGGCCAAACAGTGGAGAAAAGTCTGCTTCTCTTGACTTCAAAGACCAAGGTGCTTATCAGCTCGGGTTCCCTTTTCTCAGGAGCATGAGAAGTCCTTGGGATCCTGTTGGTGGGGGGCAGGGCTATCTGAGCCTTAACAGCAAGTACATGAATACCAGCTGTTATTAGTTTCTGATAATGTATTGACGAAGGTTTACATTTCAGAGTAAGAGTACTCTGAAAAATCTAGCAAAAATCTTTTGGGAAAGGAACCCAGGCTTTGTTTGCTAGGTAACCACTCTACCACTGAACTACATCCTCAGCCCCAAGTTACCTTTTTAAGTTTTTCTTTTTCTTTTCAGATAGGGTTTCACTCTATAGCTCAGAGCTAGCCTGGAACTCATTCTGTAGCCCAGGCTGGCCCAGAGCTTGCAGTAATCTTCCTGCCTCAGCCCCTGGAGTGCTGGAATTACAGGCATGTACCACCACACCCAGCCCCAGTTAGTCACAGTCTTTTTTCACCTGTGGAACTCCAACAGTACCTGATGTGGCATTGCTCAAAGGCACCTCTCAAGCAGTAGGCACTTGGCTACTGATGGCTCCTTGCAGCATCAATGGGCTAGAGCCAGCTTCCATTCAACAGACATTATGTTTAGACACTGAGCTGGATGAGGCAAACACCTGAGTTAGGATTTTACAAAAGAAGACTTAAAACCTCAGGAAAGGGGTTGGGTGCAATTCAGTGGTAGAGTAATTTGCCTAGCATGTGCAGAGCTCTAGTTCCATCCCCGACCCACAAGCCAGGGAAACACTATTTGTTGTGCACCACTCCCTCCTGGCCTCTAGAAGCCCATCAAAAATCACAGCAGCCTCTCTCCCTCCACTTGTCAGGAGTTAGCCTATCTACTGAGAAAACAAAAGGCCCCAAAGGACTCAACCTCACTCAGTATATCTTTATAACTTCCATCTGGTCTGTCCTCACAGGATCATGCTCCCTGTTCAAAACTAATCATTAATAGGCCAATGAGATGGCTCAGTGGGTAAAGGTGCTTGCTGCCAAACCTGGTGACAGGAGTTTGATCCCTGGAATCCACTTTGTGGCAGGAGAGAACCAACTCCTGCAAGGTGACCTCTGACCTCCATACATGCACCGTGGCACATGAGTGTGCACACACTTAAATAGACAAATAATAAATAAATACAAATAAATATAAATAAATAAAATCATTAATGACTAACTTCCCAATGCAATGAGACTCAAGTCCAAATTTTTGGTCTTGATGCATTAAGAAAACACTTGCTACTATTTAAAAAAAAAAACCCAAACCTCTAATAGTGTAACAAAATCAAAATCGATGTATTGGTCAGGTAGTCCCCAAATATGACCTAAATTAGTAGGACCTTGTAAAGGGCAGGGTGGTGGTTTGACTAAGAATGTCTCCCATAGAAATCAAGTATTTGGGCAGTTTGTCTCCAGTTGGTGGTGCTGTTTTGAGAGACTTCAGGAGATGTGACCATGCCACAAGAGGTAGGCTCTGGAAGTAGGCTTTGAGAATTCTTAAGCCTTCCCAAATTTTCAGTCTCTCTCTGCTTCCTGTGCCTGCTTGAATATGTGATCACTCCACCATCTGCTCTGGCTACCTCCTTCTGCCATGCCTCTCCTGCTGTTATGCCATTATGGACTCTTACCCCTGGAACCGAAAGCTCAAATAAACTCTTCCTTCTATAAGTTGCCTTGGTCATGGTGTCTTATTACAGCAACAGAAAAGTAACTAATTACAGGCATGATGTCTTTTATTGTTTTTGTTATGCTGAGTACTTCAGGCTAGCTGGCCTGTGAGCTTCAGGGCAATTCTCCAGGTCACCTGGTTTATTAAAAGAGGCCTTTACCCACTGAGTCATCTTGATAGCCCTGGTTTTGGTTTTTAAAGGCAGAATCCTATATAGCTAAAGCTGACTCCAAAGCTTGATATGTAGCTGAGGATGACCTTGAACTCTTTTTCAGATTTTATTTTTATTTTTAATTATCTGTGCATTATGTGCATGTGTGTACATGAGTGCAGGTACTCACAGAGGACAAAAGAGGTTGTTGGATCCCCTAGAGCTGGAGTTGCAGGCAATTGTGAGCTGTCCAACATGGGTGCTGGAAATGAGTAGTTTGTGCCCTTAACCACTGAGCCATCTCTCCACCCCAGCGTTGAACTCTTGATCTTCTTGTCTCTACTCCCAAGTGCTGGGGTAACAAGTGTGTGCCACCATGCCCCCATTTTATACAGTACCAGAATTAAACTCAGAGCCTCATGCATACTAATTGAGCACTCAGTCAATCCGAGCTTTTGTTGGAGGGGGGAGCTTTTTGAAACAAAAACAGTTTCCTTGTAGCCCCAGGTGGCCTGGAACTTGCTATGTAGACCAGGCTGGCCTCAAACCACCAGAGAACTGCCCGCCTCTGCCTCCCAAGTGCTGGGACTAAGCACGTCACAAAACTTGGCTGCTTTTTTTTTTTTTAAGTTGAAATAAATATGCTATTTTGAGTATCTCTCTGAACAGTAGTAACAATTACTCAGTCCCATTTCTGAACCTACTCCCCATCTGCCAAACTATCCAAATTGAATCTATCCATCAAATACCTATGTCTTGTATTCATTCTTTCAATAAAATTTATTGAACAGCCAGGTGTGATGGTACACACCTTTAGTCCCAGCACTTGGGAGGCAGAGGCAGGAAGATCTCTATGAGTTTGAGGCTAGTCTGGTCTACACAGTGAGTTCCAGCCTCCCCCCCCCCACAAAATTATTGAACAGCCAACATAGGACAACACATACTTGCTGAATGACTCTGCTTCACGTTACTACATGCCTTCAGTGAGCACATAAAAGCTCAGTGAATATTTGTTAGGAGCACTGCTCCTTACAACAATGGAACTTTAAAGCACATGCCAGAATTTCTGGGGTGTGAATATGGGGTGCTGACTGACAGTACTTGAATCCTGATTCTACCACTTACTAGCTCGATGACTCAGTTGCCTTGCCTCACATCGTATGTAAAATGGGGATGCTGGTAACAGGGCTACACTGCACAGCTGCTTAAAACACTGTAAGCACCCCATAAATGGTAGTTATCATTTCTAGCTCCATTTGAGACTGAGATTTGTTCCAGGCTTTCCTTCTAGTGGAAGAGAAAAATCAACATTTGAGAAGTGGGTCCTTGAACAGGCTTGCCCCAGGACCTTGAGCCATCTTCCCATCCAGCAGCTTGTGCCCTAACTCATAAATCCTGACTAATGCCACAGACACGTCACCTTAATGTTTGTGCAGCTCAGTGACTTAATGAAGTGCTTGGAGATCTTCAGATGAAAGACACCCCAAGGGCAGCAACAAATACCCTATTCCATCATAAAAAAAAAAAAAAAAAAAAAACTACCAAAAACATGGAAAAGGCAGAGACACCAGAACTTATTGTAGCAAAGAATGAAAGCAAGCGGTCAAGAAGAGGACAGCCATTCTTCCAGCGTAATTTTATTTATTTATTTATTTATTTATTTATTTATTTATTTATTTAGAGACAAGGTCTCCATATGTAGCCTACACTGAATCTCTCCATGATCCTCCTGACACCACTTCTCAATTGCTAGGATTACAAGTGTGTACAACCACAGCTGACTTAATCCTTTAGTATAGAGACAGAGAGAGCCAGGCATGGTGGCACAAGCCTTTGGTCCCAGCACTCGGGAGGCAGAGGCAGATGGATCTCTGAGATCCAGGCTAGCTTGATCTACATAGGGAGTGCCAGTCCAACTGGAGCTACCGGGAGGGAGACCCTGTCTCAAAAAGGAGAGAGGAGAGAGCGAGAGAGCGAGAGCGAGAGAGAGAGAACAATTCTGAACTCTCCAGACTAAAGCGTTGGAGGTATCTCAGAGTAGTGAAGAATGCCCAAGTCCTTAAGTAATTTGGGGTATGGGTGTACTGTAAATCTTTCACCTTTTCTAAATAAAAACCAGAGCAACAATTTGTATTGTTACCCTAATTAATTTCAGCAAGTTAAAAGGCTTGGACAAACAGGCCTCTGTAAGTGGCTTGTTTGTGAGTTGTGACAGGTCCTGAATTATGCCACGCTCCCTTCTCAGCGTCATGCTTTTCATTGCACAGCTCTTGACCACCACCCCGGGCAATGCACCTTTTACCTAGACTTACGTCCAGGTGTGTCAGTGGGTCAGACGCCTCAGCACAGAAATCCTCAAGCTGGAACAAAACAGTAAACTATGCGGCTTTTACAAAATATGTCGACCCTGAGGTTGGAGCAAGAAAAATAATCGCTACCACCACTGTAAGTTTTCCGTCCCCTATAATGGTGAAGTCGCAACAGGACACGGATTGGAAGAGCCCTGGAGGAGTTCTACATTTTCATAGCCTTGGCACTAAACAGTTCCTTACCCTTCCTAACTAGACGATTCCTTACTTTCAGTTTCTTCCTTTGTAAAGTGTGTATAAGTAAGACCTATTTTGAAAAGTCAGTGAGAAGGCTATGCTTGGAATCGTTCCGCCCCGGTGAAAAGCGCTGCGCAGAACACGTTAGAGCAGTCGATACTCCCACTGTGCAAGCAGCGAACCAGCAGCCACTACAGGATCAACCAGCCCTTCCCAAGGAATCATGGGCCATGAAGTCCTTTCGTAGCCGCACCCTTCTGAACTGCCACAGAAGTAAGGACTACGTTTCCCAGGATGCCACGCGCAGACCGCCGCCACCACCGCCGTCTTCCCCGCCCTCCTCTCGCGCGGCTTCCTGGAATCTGTAGTCTGAGAAGAAAAGAGCTAGACGGCGTCGGGCCGCGGAAGAACGACACGCCCCAGAAGCCCTCGCGCCACTCTTCCCCCTCCCTTCCTGCAGTCGGAGTGCTGTTTTTGTTGTTGGTGAAAGGTGAGGGAACAGCTGATCCGTCTGTGGGGTAAGAAACTTGGCCTAATTGGGAGGGTGGGCTTACTTAGGGGGGAGGGCAGCCCACTTTCGAGTCTGCGGAAGGCTAATCTAAGAGAACTGTAGAAGACGGCGGCTGGAGTGTTTGGGTTTAAATACTTTACGTACTGAAGAAGCCACCCCCACGTTTCTAGTGTTGTTGGTTCAACGGGGGCCCTGAGCAGGGGCATGGCCCCCGCATTGTCCTCGCTCTCGTCTCAAGCCTTCTCTGTAAAGGGTGATACGCTTTGGGAAGCGTGAGGGGACTGAAATATTTGGGTAATCTCCTCCAGGCAAGTCTTTGCCCTCACAAACCTTCCCTCTCGCCCGAATCCAAAGGCCCTTACTACGCTGAATCCCTGAGAAACTTCCAACTTGTAGAGTAACACACACACACGAGAGAGAGATCGCTCTCGTCTCAAGCCTTCTCTGTAAAGGGTGATACGCTTTGGGAAGCGTGAGGGGACTGAAATATTTGGGTAATCTCCTCCAGGCAAGTCTTTGCCCTCACAAACCTTCCCTCTCGCCCGAATCCAAAGGCCCTTACTACGCTGAATCCCTGAGAAACTTCCAACTTGTAGAGTAACACACACACACGAGAGAGAGAGCGAGAGCGAGAGAGAGAGAGAGAGAGCGAGAGAGAGAGAGAGAGGAGAGAAAAAAGCCCCATTTAGAAAGAAAGGAAGGGAGGGAAGGAGGGAGGGAGGGGAAGGGAGAGAGAGAGAGAGAGAGAGAGAGGAGAGAGAGAGAAAGAGAGAGAGAGAAAGAGAAACATCTGAATCTGGCCATATCCACTTTAGGTGTCCAGGACTTTGAGTCAGGGAGAACGTTTGCAGCCGTTACGGATTTTCTTTGTGGGAAGGATTTGAGGGTTCCCCACATGTAGATCTTTGAGGACAATTTACACTCTCCCTACCCCCAGAAGAATTGTTTTGAAGATAGCATGGACTCGATTTACCCAAGGTTTTTTCAGAGATGAAAATCCAAGAAATCGCTTCAATCTAGTCGATATTTTCAAGGAAAAAAATTGTTCTTTCTGCATTGCTGGCCCACCTTTCCATCTTCACTGAAAGTCTGACTTCTTTTAAAGTTCTTCCCCCGCCGCCTCAGCCTTGTGTGGGTTTGTGATGTTTAGGGGTGTGCTCATGACTAGTGGTGATAGCTGATTGGACACATCAGCTGTAGCTGACACAGGAAGCAGATTTGTGGGCTGGAGGGGAGAGAGGAGGGCTGCTGGCTCACAGCCCTGAGTTGAGGAGTACTTTATTTTTAAAGTTAGCATACAAAGTAATGGGTTTCATTATATTTTCAAACATGTATGTCATTATATTTTGTTCTTACTCATTTCCCTTAGTACTCTTTTATTTACCTTATTTTATTTTGTGTGCATTTGTGTGCTTATGCATGTGCAGAAATTGGAAGACAACTTGGGAAAGTTGATTCCTTTCTCCCACAATGCTCCTAAGTCCCAGTGATTGAGCTCGGGTTGTCAGGCTTGGTGGCAAGCACCTTCACTTGCTGAGCTAGCGCCCACCTCAATATTACTCAAATTTATTCTCATCCCGTCCCCACATTTTCCAGTCAACTCTCCCTAGCTAACTTGGAACATCCCTTCCCAGCACCATTCTATAGTGTGTCTTGTACAAATTCAAGCAGATGGCAGAATTTGGACACTTACATTGAGGCTGAGAGGAACAGACAAAATGGGAAGGGAATACTAGACCTGGGCCAATATCCAGTCAAACCAGTAGGTTTCTAGCTCTGTTCCAGGCTACAACAGTAGGTTTCTAGCTCTGTTCCCTTTTCTCAACATTAAATATACATTTCCTCTTCTCCAGGCCCCTTACTTCCCAGTTCCCAATCTGGGTCCTGCCTAGGGGTGGGACTTTCCTAGCTCCTGGCCCCTTCCCAGTTTCCAATCTGTGTCCTGCCTAGGGGTGAGACTTTCCTGGCTCCTGGCCCCCACATTCCAGCTCCCCACACCACCATGTTCCTACTGAGTGTTTCATTCCACCCTTGAGTTGCCACCTCCAGAATATTTGACTTTCTGGGATAATGAAGTTGAGGGACAGAACCTATCTCTCCTTCTATCCTCCCCTTCTCTATTTCTTAGAGAAGAAAAGAAGCTTTCCTTCTTCCACCTCCCTAAAATTGGTGCAAGTAGACAGCTTAGAGAAGAGCTGAGGAGGCTGGATTATAGATTGCTAGTCCCCAAACCATTTTCCAACTTTGAAGACGCTCCATGGTTTTCAAAGATCAGTTGTTTTTGGTCATCTTACCTAGGTACAGTTGGGTCAAGAAACTCAGTCGTAGGTAAGGGAGACCTGCTCAGGGTGAGAAGGTTCCACTCCTCAGCTGGATTTTGAATTCCAGGGCCAAAAGATATGGAGGATTAGGTGGGAAACCAAGAAAACCTGGAAGTCCCAAGGATGTTGAGAGATGAAAAGGAGGGACTAAGGTGGACAGAGCCTGGGATACTGAGACTTGGTCAATAGAGCAGTGAAAAGGGAATAGAAATTAGACAAGTAAGGGCCTATAAGCAGAGAAGGAGAGAGGATACAGCTTGACACAGAGTGGGGTCTGACTTGGAAGGCTAGACCTATGTCCCAGAGACTGAAGTGATAGCTAGAAAAGCTCCTAACAACCCTTAAAGGCTAGAAACCATGTATGTCCTGTGTATGGGCTGTGGGTGGGTGCACATGGGTCAGGGGAGGAGGGTGGAAAGCCTTAAGTCTGTAAACCCTTTCTTTCATAGGATAGCAGGTACCTTGAAGGCAGGATGGACGAGTCATCACTAAGCCGGGCACCATCCCGGGGTGGAGTCAATTTCTTGAATGTAGCCCGGACCTACATCCCCAACACCAAGGTGGAATGTCATTATACCCTGCCCCCAGGCACCATGCCCAGTGCCAGTGACTGGATTGGCATTTTCAAGGTATCCCTAGAACCTCTTCTGCCTCAGGCTTATGGGACATGGGTTGGTTACAATAAGAAGAGTGACTAGGTTTTTGGGTTCTCAAGTTGATAGGGAGAAAGATGACAGATGACAAAAGCCGTCTGTATAAAGTTCATTTCTCCATCTTAGCCTTGCTCTCTCTTGACAGAATAGTGTCCTCCCAACTTTTCTGACTCTTAGCATTCTTGGAACCACTCATTCGGTCCTGCTGTCTCCTCTGTCCCCTTTGGATGGTAGCCCTAGAATAATACCCCTTTTCTACCTCACTCTGTCAGGTAGAAGCTGCCTGTGTTCGGGATTATCACACATTTGTATGGTCTTCAGTGCCAGAAAGTACAACCAATGGTTCTCCTACCCATGCCAGTGTCCAGTTCCAAGGTACAAAGAATGATAGGAAAATAGGAGGGAGGAGTCAAGGGGATGGAGGTTAGGGGAATGGTGGGCTTAGAAGCATCATAGGCACAGAGGATAAGGAAACAGGAATGCAGATAACTCTATAATTACTGGACCTAGAGGTACTCAAGTATAGGCCCAGCTACTTAGGAGGCTGAGGCTGGAACTGAAAGAAAGAAAGAGAGAAACAGAGAAAGAGAAAGAGGGAGATGGGGGAGAAAGAAAAGAAAGAAGAGAGAGAGAAGGAAAGAAAGAAAAGAAAGGGTGGGAGGAAGTGAGAAAGGAGGGAGGGAATGAAGGAAAATAAAATAAAAGAGACCTTATGAGACTGTATCCAACAGGACTTAATAAGTACCATGAGGTTATCACAGCACCAGGGACTCAGAGCTAGAAGGATCTTTAGAGGACGTTTGGTACCACTGTTTACCCCCCAAAATGAAACATTCACCCTATGAGACTAGGAAAAAGCTGCAGTGATATCAGAAGAGAGTAGCTATAATGATCTGAAAGACCTGGGTTCACATCTCAGCTCTCCTACTTAGAAGATGTTTGGCTTTGAGCAAATAACAAGAGGATGCCTGCTTGTAGGGACAAAGTGAGGATTTAAAACGATCCAGATAGCAGTGATAGCACAATGCTTGATACATGTGAGCACTCAACCAGTGGTACCTAGAGTCACTGTGATGATGAGGAAGAGAGTAGGTTTAGGAAGGAGAGAGGGCTAGACAGAGCCCATGAGGGAGTGGACTCAAGGACAGTAGATAACGTGGTACACTAAATAGGAAGAGGGACTTGCTAGCAGTTGAGGGCCAAGAGAGCATACTGGAGCTTTGGTATTCTTCCTGCAGCCAGCTACCTGCCCAAACCAGGAGCCCAACTTTACCAGTTCCGATATGTGAACCGCCAGGGCCGGGTATGTGGGCAGAGCCCCCCTTTCCAGTTCCGAGAACCCAGGCCCATGGATGAGCTGGTGACCCTGGAGGAGGCTGATGGAGGCTCTGACATCCTGCTTGTTGTCCCCAAGGCCACTGTACTCCAGGTAAGAAAAGAGTAGCAGACTTGCTCCTGGACCAGGAAAGCTGAGGACAGCATTTCCAGGGCCCCCTTCCCACTTCATTTTTCCTCATGTGTCACCTCAGCTGAAGACTTCACTGGGAATTACCTAAGGTCTGCTGTCAAGAAAGGCTAGCCTTCACACAGACACCTAGGTCAGGAAAGCAAGCAAGGTTCCTAGAACTGAGCTAGCCTTCTCTCAGTGCCACTGCCTGCCCTAGGTCCTTACAGGTGATCCACTGGGTGGAGGAAGACTGCCCCAGGGGACACGGGAGAAAGGGAGGCTGAGACCTGCCTCCAGTACAGGTAAGTAGAGGGAACAGGTAGGCAGGGCTTGGCATTGTCCTATCCAGCACCAGAGGTGCTGACCACATGTGACTCTTGGGCACGTCAGCTGTGACTAATCCAATTTGAAATATAATTTACAGGTAAGATAACACACTGGGTTTTGAACACTTAATATTTTAACATTTTTTTTTATTTATGGAGGTATGTCAGTATATGTGTGGATGTATGTATGTATGTATGTATGTATGTATGTATGTGTGAATGGGTGCACACATGCCACAGCACACATGTAGAGGACAACTTGTGGGAATCAGTTCTTTCCTTTCACCATGTGGGTTCTGGGGATTAAACTCAGATCACCAGCCTTGGCAGCAAGTGCCTTTACACTCTTGCCAGCCTAAGACTTAGAATTTTTTTGTGTGTGACAGGGTCTCCCTATAGCCCCAGCTGGTCTGGAACTCATTATGTAGACCAGGCTGGCCTCAATATCACAGAGATCCACCTGCCTCTGCCTCCCAAGTACTGGGATTAAAGGTGCGCACCACAATGCCTGGCCCCAAGACTTAGTATATTTAAAAAATATTTATTTTTAATTTTTATGTATATGAGTGTATTTCCTGGATGTATATAAGTGTACCACATGTGTGCATTGCCTGCGGAGGTCAGAGAGGGTGTCAGATCCCTTGAAACTAGAGTTACAGACTGTTATTAGCTGCCATTTGCAGAACTGGGAAACTAACCTGGGTCCTCTGCAAGAGCAGCCAGTGCTCTTAACTATTGAACCATCTCTCCAGCCCCAAGACTTAGTATTTTAACAGTGATTACATATTTAGATAATAATTTTGTGGATAAACTGAGTTAAACAAAGTATTGTAAGAATTAATTTCAAATATTTTTTTCTTTCTTTTTTTGAAGCAGGGTTTCAGGTAACCCAAGCTGGCTTTAAATTTAGTAGGTAGCCAAGGATGTCCTTGAACTCCTGACCCTTCTGCCTCCACCTCCCAAGTGCTGGGATTACATCACACCTCACTTCAGATATTTCTCTGTGTGTGTGTGTGTGTGTGTGTGTGTGTGTGTGTATGTGTGTGTGTGTGCACATGTGTGCATACCATGGTATCATGTTGGGGTCAGAGGACATCTTGCAGGAGTCAGTTCTCTCCTTCCACCATGTGAGTCCTTGGATTGAACTCAGCTCATCAAGCTTAGCAGCAAGTGCCTTTAACCTCTGAGCCATCTTGTTGGCCCAGCCATGGTACTCTTACTTGCCATTCCTCAATTACCCTTCCCAGCCCAGACGTGCACACATGTAAGTACAGAGACCAGAATAGAGTGTCATAGAGTCCCCTGGAGCTGGAGTTACAGGCAGTTATGAGCCACTTAAAGTAGCTACTAGAAAATGTAAACTTAGAAATTTTCCTTATGTAAACATTTCCACTGGGCCAGATAGAGAATTGAAGAGCGATAACAGATACTAGGAAGACATCCTGAGGGAAGATGAGGGATAGGGACGTGGGGAGGGCAGTCCGTCCTCTAGATGAGAGCAGAGTCACTGAGATGAGAGTGGGGGGTTTTTTGGTGATTTGGACAAACTTTCTAAAACTCAAGTCTAATAAATACGTAAATTAACACAATAAGATGTTTGTACCTATGTGAGAAGCAGTGCAAACTGATACTTGGTATTGTGTTTTTGCATGTGGTCTCATTTAAACCTCACAGATGAGGAAATTAGTGATTCAGCTAATACAGCTTGTATTGGAGAGTCGACCCAAATCTATCTAACTCCTGAGATACAGGGTAAACTTAGAGGAACTCCCCATACCACCCCCCTGCCCCCTGCTCCTTTGTCTCTATACCCTTCCAGAGAAGAGATCAGTGAGGAAGGGGCCAGGCCTGGCCTGGAAAAGATAATTGGAGGAATGGCAATTGAAAGTACCATGGCTAGCCTGTGCTGACTTGGCTTCCCCACCCCAGAATGCATTTAAATGGGCGCCTCACAAATACTCCCCATTATCCCCATTCCCCTGTAGAACCAGCTGGATGAAAGTCAGCAGGAACGGAATGATCTGATGCAGCTGAAGCTGCAGTTGGAGGAGCAGGTGACAGAACTGAGGAGCCAAGTGCAGAAGCTAGAGACAGCTCTGACCTCCGCCAGGCGAGAGCATGCAGAGCTCACAGAGCAGTACACGGTAGGAGTTGGGCCCAATGAGGAATGGATTCTGAACCCAGCATCTCAAATTGGAACCCAGCAAAGAGAGGAAGGGAAAGCTGTCAATGGACTTTTAAGATGGTTCTGGCATCAAGGAAATAGGTTTAAAGGTAGCAAGTGAGATTAAACTTTTTTTTTGTCTTTTTGAGACAGGGTCTCCCTGTAGCCCCAGCTGGCCTGGAACTTGCCATGTAGACCAGGCTGGCCTTGAGCTCAGATCTGCCTGCCTTTGCCTCCTGGATGCTAGGATTAAAGGCATGTACCACCACGCCTGGTTTGAAATTAAACTTTTGAGATATGTACCAAGTTTATAATGAGACTCAGTTCTTTGGACCCAGGAATGGTAGGGTAAAGTAAAGATAGCCATATTCCTGGTAACAGTTTCCTATTCAGCTTTTTGAAGGAAGATGGTAGGATGAAGGTGGGATATCTAGTGTTGGTGTGCTCCTCCTAAGCTTGAGACTTGTCCTCACCCTCTGTCTTCCTTGGTACAAACCTTAATTCCAGGGACTTTCCCGGTCCTATGGAGAGCTCACAGAAGAGAGAGACGTCCTGAGTCGGAAGCAGGGTGACCATGTGGCCCGTATCCTGGAGCTCGAGGATGACATCCAGACCATCAGTGAGAAAGTGCTGATGAAGGAGGTGGAACTGGACAGGTATGGGCACCTCCTCAAGCCTAGGACTGCCCTTCATTTCCCAAGACTCCCCCTCCTCCCCCTGACTCAGACTTCAGGGTTTCTCTGTCCCAGCTCACTCTCATACAGGGTTCTCATCCATCTTCCTAAGGCTACTGTGTTCCTCACCTTCAAAAATGATCAGTTACTATTTATTGTATAACAGAAACTAAATAGAGCTAGAAGTGCAGAACTTAGAAGAGATTTGATAGATCAGTCAATGCAAGATAAACAAAGATTAATTTCAAATTTTACTGCAGAATGATGTACACTTATAATCCCAGCTACTAGGAAAGCTGAGGCAAGAAGATCACTTGAATGCAAGATAAACAAAGATTAATTTCAAATTTTACTGCAGAATGATGTACACTTATAATCCCAGCTACTAGGAAAGCTGAGGCAAGAAGATCACTTGAGTCTAGTCTAGGAAACATAGCAAACCTTCATAATGTATAATCATATGAAT